CTGATGCTCAGTCACTTCCAGAAAAGCAGAGCCTCAGCAAGTGCAACAGTTTCTTGGGACAGCAAATGCCACTCTGACTGCCCTGGTTTCTGCACCCTTTCCTTCAGTTTTTATTGCAGAGCACAATGTCATATTGTATGGGATATCCCTTTGTTTAGTTCAAGTCAGCTGTCCCAGATCCTACTCCCTTGTCCAACACTATTCATTCCTATACTCACTGAAACTGGGAGGCTGGGTGAGGGTGAAAGGCAGAATTGGAAATATGGAAAGTCTTAATGCTTTGCAAGCAGTGTTCAGCAACAGCCTAAGATTTATTTGCATTACCAACTCTTCTTTGGCCACAGGTCCAAAGCACAGCACTGTATGGGCTGCTATGAAGAAAGTTGACCACATCCCAGCCGGACTGAGCAGACTTATGAAAGGCCTATTAAAAAAACTGCCTCTTATAAATGGAGAAGGCATTCTTTACACTGAAGCCCAAATCATTCAAAAGAGGTTGCTTGCTATTCCCCTTTTTTCTAGACATTTGTAAATATTAAACATTATAGGAGCTAGCCCAGTGGTGTACCAAAATGCTTCTGTTAGATGAAATTGAGATCCAAAAGTCTTAAACAGAAATGAGCTGCCAGTACTGAAAGAAACAAATGGGTCAGAAATGTCACTTTCCTACTGTTGTTACTTATTATCATTCTTCTTTTTATTATTTTTTTTTTTTACCATTTTGTCTGAGAAATAAATTAAAATAGTCTTTTTTTTTCCCTGGCTCAAAAGTTACTCATTACATTTAATGCAAAATATTCTGATTTCTGCAAAATGTAATGATACCAAGAAAACTGAAAACAGGTAAATAATGCATTCCTCAATGGAATGAAAAGAATCATAATTTGAAAAGGGCAGCAAATAGGTTATGATGAAGTGTGGTAAGAAAATGGTGATTTTTTTTACAACAAAAGATTGCCTGCATCTCTCTATTAGTAAGTACTGAAGTAGAAAGGTGTTTTTAAATTGCTGCTAATCTGTATCCTGAAGCCTTGATGATGAGAAGACATGGGATATTCTATTCTGATGATAATAAGAAAATTAAAACTTCTACAGAAAATGAAGAGAGGATCTTTTATATCACATCACAAAGAGAGACTTCTGTAGATCTTGAAAATGCAGAGGAAAGCAATAAGTAATCATTTCTATACCCTCTATCTAGATTGCTAGTACAGTGACCATTTTAATGAGCATGCAAAGCTGAGATTTTTATTTCGTGAAATCACAGTGCAACGCTTTCTAAGGCTGTTTCATATCACTGCAATGAAAACCTCACAAAAAAAGATTGTTATTGCAGGCTTTTTACCCTGTCCTTCCAAATTCAATGCAATCTGTTCCTCAGTTGATTGTCCTGTAGCAAACAGCTAACTGGCACCTATCCCAGTCCATTTATTGACATATATTAAAGGTATCCTAGGATATCAAGTGCTAAGGTGTAGCAGCAGTCAACAACCAGCCCGCAAAGACACACAGACACTAAGACCCAACAAAACTGAAGGAAAATCAAGAATACAGCATGGACAGGGAAGAACAGTGTACTGTTGAAGGAAGCAGCTATCAAACTCTTAAAATATTCTATTCTGTAATTAACAAGGAATTTTGGCCACCTTTTTTTTTTTTGTGACTCACTGGCAGAAAGCATAACCATACAAATTCCTGCACCATTTTCCTATCATTTATTTTAGTGAGGTGCTGAACTCAGTCAATGAAATGCTTACATTTCATTTTTCATACTGATTTCATGTTTAGGAATGACCCCTCGAGAGATTCCCATGATGTTGAAGGAGTTGCAGTGCAGTGGGGCATCTGAAAGATGACTTTAACCCAGAGACCCTTATCTGGGCCTGTAGAACAAAGCAACCTGTACTGCATCCTATTCTTATCTCAAACGTATGACCAGATGATGGGACCACAACCTCTGTTGTCCCAGCATTCATCTACAGGTGCCTTTCCCTTCATCACAGTCTATTCCAGTGCTGTTCTAGGCACCTCTGTACGCTTGAAAAGATTCAAGCCTATATTCTCATGAGGAGATATATCTTCCTGTCCTGGAAACCACCTGCAGACCCATTTGAAAAGTCTGGACTTTCTTGTTCAGTAAAACTGTATATTGCATTTTGGTGACAAATCTGTGGCTGTCCAGCCTGAGGCAGGCTGCCTGTTAGCAGTTACATCTGTGTATCACTAAGGGAGAAGCCAGAAGAGGTAATATCCAGCCTGATATTTCTCTGTAACATCACTGGGTGGTGGGCAAGGGCAGAAGGCCAAGGGTATAAACTGAAAACTGAGAGAGTCCTGGCTCGCAGGCAGGCGTGCTACCAATGGAGCTGGAACGGCAACTGAGCAGTTTTGTGTCACTGAAAAGAGCTGGCAAGGCAGCATTTAAAGTTTATTACATAACTGGCTTTGGGAAAAAAAAAAAAAAAAAAACACCTAATGAGGAATATTACAAGTAGGGCAAGGGATCCGAGACAGTATTATTTTTATGCACACAGACTCTGAGTTAGTTAGTAAACGGGTGAGTGAAGACACAAGAGCACAGCAGAGAAAAAAAGCTATAAAGAGAACGTTATTTTTAATATACATATCTGCCAATCAAACACTATACCAGTAGTTGTAAGAGGTGACCTGATTGCTTGGCCATTAGCACAGCAGACTGCCTTGTGGGGAATATGAATCCAAGTCCAGTTGTCTGAATATAATAGAAACTTGGCAGGGGAGATCTAATAACGACTTCAGCTATGTAAGGAAAAACAAGGGAGAAAAAAAAAACAAACTCCCAGTCCACCTGAAGAAACATGCTACTTTTTATATTCTTAAAAGAACACAAACAGAAGGATGTATGAATTAGAATGGAAGTCTGTTCATACAAACATGAAAATAAACACTGGAGGCACATTAGTGTCCGCCAATTTTACCACAGATCAAAGCACCTGGTAGCAGAAGCTGCTTTTGTCCCCCTGCTTTTACTGAACCCTTTGCACTGCTGCTCCATGACTGCAAAACTACTAAGTACAGTGGAGCAGAGTTGATGAATGAGTCACTGATTTCAGCCAATCAAAATTAGGACCTAAAATTACACCGCATACTTAACATTCAAAAGGTTTTGCTTTTAACATACTGTATTATAAAGCCTTTCTTTTTCTATGGTGGAAGACAAAATCAAGAGCCACTGAGGAACAATGTCCTATATAACAGAATAATGTTTGTATTAATTATATTTTCATTATCTTCACTAGACTGTTGGTAGAGTGTCTTGCTACACTTTGTTCAGGTTACACGAACCATTTCAATATGATTATATATCTGCAGTGAGGGTGGCGGAGCACTGGAACAGGCTGCCCAGGGAGGTGGTGGAGTCTCCTTCTCTGTAGATGTTCAAGACCTGCCTGGATGCCTACCTGTGCGACCTGCTGTAGGGAACCTGCTTTGGCAGGGGGGTTGGACTCGATGATCTCTGGAGGTCCCTTCCAACCCCTGCAATTCTGTGATTCTGTGATTCTGTGATTTTTCCCTAGCTTTTCTCATTCATGTTCTTAACTCATATGTTTTGACTGTAGGAAACATACCACAGTCCATTCCTGATAAGAAAACAATATATTACAGTGTTATTGGTGAACATTAATAAATAAATAAATAAATAAATAAATAAATAAATAAATACACCTGATAAAATTATTAGGTTAATATAACAAACTGTTATTTGATTTGCATTGAATTTGTGGGCTAAATAATATTCCCTTACTAAACTAAAGATACCTTCTTGCCAAAAGAAATGTAAAAAGTCAAACAGAGAAGATTTTGCATAGGAAAAAAATGCTAAAACAATTACATTTCAAATTTCTCTCCTTTTCTTTCCCACTTAACCATCCTTGAATTTCTACTGCTGGAAAATACATCATGTGGCGACCCGTATCATTGGGATATTATCACACTGTTACAACTCATGACAGGTATGGAATTATTTTTATAGAGCAGTAGAAATTACATTCAATTCAGAGATTCGATTTCCTTCATATTATGGGACAATTACACAAAATTGAGCAAACTCTTGCTTTTGCCTCCATCTCAATCTCCAAGGCTGTAACCCTATGTTTATATATGAACCTGATTAATTTTTGTGATAAAGTTTTGAAGCAACTCTGAATGAATTGGAGTGAGAAACAACATTGAGCTACAAGACAAATTTTGGATTTTAGAAGGTCCAATAGAAATATTTTAAAGCTATTCCAGTTTCCAAGCCCCATATAGAAAAACAAAACAAGAAAATAAGTAAAACAATGAAAAAATAATCCATTAAACTGTTAAGTCGCACAGGCAGTTTGAATTTAACTCTTAGCATAGCTGTTGAGAACAGATTTTAAGAAGGTGTAGTAGCAGTTCAACCTTTATGAGCAAAGGCAGTAGTACTCCCTAGATAAATCTGCTGACAGATTTGCTAGGACAGTTATGATTAGCTATGTATCACCTATCATTCAAGCTGACAGAAAGCTTTTTATTCAATGTTAGGGAGGCTGTTTTTGTTACAGACATCTAGGCTCATCCTGGAGGCTAGAAGAAGCTTCCTAAACCTGCACCAGTTGCTCCACAAAGTATCACCCCCGTCTCCTTCAGCAGAATATTGCTGTTAAGCTTAATAAAGGCTTAATAAATGTTTCTATAGTTTAATATGCAAAATAGACATTGCAGAACTTACATAGTATTTACAAGCATGAATCATATGTTCCTCTTTTTTTTTTTTTTTTTATTCATCAGTACAGTTTAGAAATGGGACCACTGAGGATGCCAAAAAAACGTAAAAGAGATGGATAGTAGTGCAAGGAACAATTCCAGGAATCCAGTGTTAATGGTGCTGCTACAGTTCATGCTGTGATTTTGGTGCTAGTTTGAGCTGATGTAGAAAACTAGACACATATCTTTCCCTGGTCAGCTTTTTATCATAAGAATTGATCTCAACCTACCTCCTATAGGAGCAGAGAGGAAGGGACAGAAGGGCAGAGCCCAAAATAGTGATTTCCTTCTCCTTGCAGAACCAGAAGGAAAAGTGAGGCAAGCCTGTGAAGACATCTCATGGTCAGCCTTCAGTTTCTGAATGCTGAAGATCTTCCTTCTCCTCATGGAAAGAAGGACCCAGCTGAAGCTGCAATCTGTGTCTGCCTCTCACTTGCAAAGGCACAGAAAGCTCTGACTTCTGTTTGAGGCATAAGGAAAAATCACATAGGGTTAACAGTCAGCTGGCAGTTTAAGTATGTAGCACTTCTGCCAGAAAAAAAAAAAAAAAAAAAAAAAGAGATATATAATTCAAGGGGGGAGAAATGTCAGTATTATATTCACATGATCTTATCAGGGACATAATGTCAGGCACCATAAAAGGGAAATATGATAAGATTGCAGTATAACTTTTAATTGTGACTCAGAGCTTCTTGCATGAGGCCTGCCTGGTTTCCTCCTCCTTTCCATACCTAATAATGAGAAAAATACTATTAGTCTGTTAGCTAATAGTTCTAATTATTACTTGCAAGTTGTTATTCATTGCATTCTGTTGTTTTCAGGGGAACAAGAACAGCAGGCAAACTCTTCTTGCTAAGCAGCAACTTCCAGGGCAGAAACACGAACGTGGTTTAGGATACACCCAGAAAATTGCAGACATTAAAAGCTGAGAACATCCATTGATCATGAAGCCCCTCTCTCTGCTAAGAGAGGCACATTCCCAGAAGCAAGCATTCTAGTCTTTCTTTCCAGAATAATGTTAAAAATACCAATGGTGAATCATCCTTCCAAGTCTCTCAGGAGACAACTCCTCAGTAGAATTCACTTGCATTTTTTGTTTGTTTTGCCTTGGTTTGAAATTATTTTAATTCTTGGCACTATTTTCTCTCTTTTCAGCATTAAATACTTCTCTCTTTGTGTACAGTTTGCAATCTTCACGCTTCTCTTACTCATCATATCTTGCACACACAGCCTAAGACTCATAGCTGCCACCCCCCCACACACAGCCCCTCACACTCCCATGCAGCCAAGGCCTAATTGTAGGGTCCCTAGGTATGCAGCATTGGAACCACACATGAATCACAGAGCAGACCCTTTGACCAGCGGGATCCAGAGCACAGAGCAGCAGGAGTAGGGCTTCAGTGAGCTGTATGCCCTCCAGCATCAATACCTGCCCAACTACCTTGCAGCTGCCTCCCTCCTGCTGACGTGCTCACCTCTCCCTCTCAGAAACAATGGCTCCTGCCCATCACTTCAGCCAATGTGACATCTTCAAGATAAATCTGTATGAGCCAATATAGTACCATGTCAAAAGCTAAATCTGAGCAAATTCAAGAGGTTTATCTGAACACCGTTCCTTGTTCTGCTTAGTCAACACATACCTAATTTAGTAGCTTTAATCCATCTACTCAATCCTCATAGTCCTTGTGTAATTCGTTTGTTGTTCTTTGCTAAATTCTCCCCAACCGATCAATATCTTTCTAGTTAACATAGTGCTGAATGCTGCCCAGTATTTCAGAAGCAGTCACAAGAAAAGTACTGCTATTGTTTATTGGACTTGTGCTTGGCTATTTTTATGAGCTACTACTCATCAAAAAGATTTAAAAAAAAAACACAAAAAACTCAGAACTCTCTCTTGGCATTATAGCATTCCAATGTGGAGTCAGCAAAAAGACAGCAACATTTCACTTCAGCCCACTGAATTACGCCCATATCCAAAATTAACTGGTACCCTATGTTATAGGCAGGCTGAGTAAACAACAAAAATAACAGGTGAGACCACGATAAATGCTTTAACCTGCTTATACTGCTAGTTATTTTAAGCGTTCAGACTTCAAAACCTGACAGTTTTGGCAAAAATCCATTTTAGAGAGGGCTTTCTCACTTATTGGAAAGACACATGAGCATAAAGTGCTCCGTGTCTTTCTTTAAAGTGCTTCTGATCAACCTCTGCCTTTTCCTCCTTTACTCTTTTTTCCCTTCTGGGAGGAGATTCTTTTTACTTCTCTCCCTCCACTTCCTTCAAACTGTCTTTGTGGTGCTTCTACTGTTTAGAATTTTGAAGGTAAGATATCCAGGAATGCCACGGCACAGAAAAGGACAGTGTTTTTGCCCCTTGGGCCAGTTATATATGTTATTGTAAAAAGTAGTTCTCAGAAAAGTAGTATGGCAAGCTGTAGGCAATCCAAGAGACTCGGGGACCACATGAAGGATAACCTCATGAGTCAAATAATAGATGACAGTACTGGACCTGTTGGTTACCAATGCAAATGAACTGATTGATGACATTAGGATTGGAGGCTGCCTGTACTGTAGTGTCCATGCCATGATTGAGTTCCTGCTCCAGACAGATATGAGACAGTCAAAGAGTAAAGTTAGGACAATAAATTTTAGGAAAACTAACTCTTAGCTCTTCAGGGAGTTAGTCAACAAAACACCCTGGGAAACTGTTCTCATGGGTAAGGGTGCAGAGCAGAGCTGACTGATTTTTTAGGAAGCTTTCCTCAGTGTGCAAGAGCTCCTCCATCCCCAGATGTAGCAAATCAGGAAAGGAAGGCAAGAGACTGGCATGGCTGAACTGAGACCTGCTGGTCAAACTGAAGACCAAGAAGAAAATCCTGTGGAAACAGGGATGGGTATTATGGGAAGAGTATAAGGAAGCTAGGCTGTGTAGGAATGGGTCAAGAAAGTCAAGGCCCAGCTTGAACTAAACTTGGCAAGGGGTGCCAAGAAGAACAAGAAAGGCTTCTACAGGTACCACAACCAGAAAAGAAAAATCGAGGAGGGTGTATTCCCCCTAGTGAGTGACACAGGCAGGCTAGTAACAACAGACAAGGAGAAGGCTGAGGTATTTAACAATTTTTTTGTCTAGATCTTCTCTGATAACTGCTCATCACACAGCCCTCAAACATTTGGTTTGGTAGGAGGGGATTGAGGAAACAATGTCCCTCCCATTGTAACTGAAGATCAGGCTCATGACCACCTGAGGAACCTGAACATCCACAAGTCTATGGGTCCTGAGGAGATGCATCCCAGATTCCTGAGGGAATTGGCTGATGTAGTCACCAAGCCACTCTCAGTAATATTTAAAAAATGATAGCAATCAGATGAAGTCTCTGGTGACTGAAAAAAAAGACAACATTATACCCATTTTTAAAGAAATGTAAAATATGATCGTTGGAGCTACTTTCAAACTCCCCTCTGTGCCAGGAAACACCATGTAGTAGATCCTCCTGGAGGGAGGCATATGAAATATGTAAAGGCATATGAAAGACAGAGAGGTAATACAGGAGAACTAGCATGGCTTCACCCAGGGCAAGTCCTGCTTGACCAACCTAGTGGCCTTTTATGATGGTGTCACTCTTCAGTTGGACAAGGAAAGAGCCACTGATGTCGTCTATCTGGACTTCATTAAGGCCTTTGACATGGTACCCCACAACATCCTTCTCTCCAAATTGGAAAGATATGGATTTGATGGGTGGACTGTTCAATGGATGAATAACTGGCTGCAGTGTTGAGCCCAGAGATTGGTGGTTAATGGCTCAGTGTCTGGGTGGAGATTGGTGAAGAATGGCATCTCCCAGGGGTCAGTGCTAAAACCGATACTCTTTTAATATCTTCATCAGTGACATTGACAGTGGAGTCAAGTGCACCCTCAGCAAGTTTGATGATGACACCAAGCTTTGGGGTACAGTCAACACACTATAGGGATGGGATGCTATTCAGAGGGACCTACACAGGCTTGATCAGTAGTTCCAGGTGAACTTCATGAGGTTCTACAAATCCAAAAACATGATATTACACCTGAGTCAAGGTGTAATATCAACCCTCAATCAATACAAACTAGGGGATGAAAAGATTGAGCACAGCCATGACGAAAAAGACCTGGGGGTACTGGTGGATGGGAAGCTGGACATGAGCTAGCAGTGTGCCCTCGCAGCCCAGAAAGCCAACTGTATCCTGGGCAGCATCAATAGAAGTGTGGCCAGTGGAGTGAGGGAGGTGATCCTGTCCCTCTGCTCTGCACTGGTGAGGCCTCATGTAGAGTACTGCATCCACATGTGGAGTCCTCAGTACAGGAGAGACATGGACCTGTTGGAATACATCCAGAATAGGACCACAAAAATGATCCAAGGGATGGAACAACTCTCCTCTGAGGACAAGCTGAAAGAGCTAGAACTGTTTAGCTTGGAGAAGAGGATGTTTAAAGGTGACCTTATAGCAGCCTTTCAGTATCTTAAAAAGAGCTACATGAAAGAAGGGGACAGTCTTTAGCAGGGTCTGTGGTGATAGAACAAGGAGTGGTTGCCAAGTCCAGACACTTTAAAGGCTGCATCAGGTCCTGCCTGATCTAGATGTGTGTACCCCTGTTCATTGCAGGGGAGTTGGACTAGATGACCTTTATAGGTACATTTCAACTCTGAGGATTCTATGATTCTAAAAAGTCACAAAGCTCTGTCACGGGGTTGTTCTTTTCTCTGTTAAATGAATTTAATCTGAGTTGATAGGCAAGAAATCAGATAAAATCAGATATCTATAAAAAAAAAATCCTGGAATGTCTTTTTTTTAATCTCACAGGTGCTCTTTACCAGACATGCTTACATCTTCCAACAAATCCTAGGTAGGGCATTTGGAAAGTAATGCCTTCCTCTTTATTTCCATAGAAACCACAATAGATACAGAAAGCATAATAATACCATTTGATAGAGAAAGAACACTATTTTCAACATAGTCACCACCATTACCTATGCATTTTTGCTAGCAATGAACAAGAGCCTGTTTGCCATGCTCATAAATATATGCAGTAGCAGAGGTCACCACCATCACTGTCAGCACTGCTGAAACTCACTACACACCACCTCACTGTGCTCACATCCATTGCTTGGTCTCCATTAACATTCAGTAAGTGTCAGTGAATGTCAATGAGTGCCATTTTTTTCTGCACAGAGGAATTCAGCTGCACCCCTTTGCTTCACATGCACTCCCATGTTGCATGCCATTGTGTCAGACTGCCACTCTGCTGCCACCTGTCACACAGCAACAAAATGGAATAGGATATTTGATGAGAAGATGCAACTTCTACAGCCATACCACCAACATCCACGTCTGATGCTGTGGGCCAACATCATAAAATAGGAGGCCATTGCTTTTGGAGAAGTCCTCTTATTTTATGTCAGTCAGGTATATTTATGCA